TGGAATTCTTGCCATCTTTGCCTGCCTGGGACCTCAAACTGTTGAGCCCATATGCCTAGAAACCGCCCAAACATTCCTTCCTGGGGACTGTCATTAAATCTCTGTCTACTGAGGGTGCAACTGTTGGTCAAGGTCACCCAGTGAGTCAGTGGCAAAGCTGGGAATACAACCCAGACTTTCTGACTCCCTCGCCTGCTCCCTGACCATCAAACCACACGCTCTTGACAAGGATGAAACAAGCTTGTCTGTCTCAGCATTTGGAGGGAGCCGAGTGAAAGAAACTCTGCAATTTATCCATTTCCTTTTCAAATGTTCGTATGTCACTTATTTCATCTGCTAATAGCCAAATGGCTCCAGATCATTCTTCACTCTAAAAAACTTATTTTTTGTTAATTTGTCAAGGAAATGCTACCTTTATTTGGAAGAGTAAGAGAAACCACTTCCCCCCCAACCCCATCACATCACATTGTGTGACACTGGTGGTGTGGCCACTTCAAAAACCCGCAGAAGCTGCTTCCTTTGGTCTGCCGATGGCTGGTTCTTCTGCCAGCTTCTACATGTGGCCTTCCCCATCCCGGAGTTGGGCGTCCCGTGGTTCCTGGCAGAGAACTGTCCATAGACAAGCCCGGCCTTGACGTGGCTATTGCTTCTCCTGCTCTTTGGAATGAATGCTCCTTGACCTGTCCTGCCAGCTGCACCACACACGCCACTTGAAATGTAGTCAGCGGTGACCATGCAACCGGGGTGCCAGCCAGAGTCCGAGCGACTTTCCTAGGGAAGAGGGAAAAGAAGCAGAACCAGGTCTTGCCAGGGAGCGCCGTCCCAGCCAGCGGCGGGGAGGGAGAAAGGCTGTCAGTGCTCTGAGCAGCAAGACAGGCCCACGGGGACACTGTCCCTCTTTCTCTCATAGCCCATAAAGTTGTTTTTCCCAGCGTTTTATACCTGTCATGTTTAATCACAAATATTTCTTTCTCAAAATGAGCTAGATTGTTTACTCCCAAAGGCCTGTTGCTATTTCGGGGACGACTTTCCAAACTCTGGGTTGGGGTTTTTGACCAGCTGGTTCCTCCATCCCCTCTCCTTCTGTCGGGAGTTAGTCATCGTGTTCTGCAGTGACTTTGCTCCCAGAAACTGTCAGCAGAAGCACAGAGCAGCCGAGAAATGGAGTCGGGAGAGGAGAGCAGAGTGTCGCTCTCGTGCTTTCGAGATTCCTCCTGTGCGTTGGTTAAATCTGCTCAGCCCAGGCCACGCATGCCTTGGTCGGCTGAGCTTCCCCACAGTCACCTCAAATTTTAGTGCCACACCCCAAAGAAGTGTGGCACCTGCCCTCACTGCCCCCACATCCCTCCTCTCCCCGTGCGGGGCGAAGTCCATCCCACTGACATTATGGAACAAAGTTCTCAGCGACACACAGGGTGACCCAAATCAGTTTTCTTATAGTTCTTAAAATTACAGTTCTTACAAAGCTGATCCTGCTTGTCTTGGCTCCAAATGCATTATATTATTCTGTCCTTCAGCTCTTTCTGCCTGCGCCAGCCATCAAGTGCTGTGTTCCCATGAGAAGAAATAACTTTGCTTCATGTGACAGCCCTGGGTGCACTCCAGGCAGAGTGACAACATAATTTTGTTTACTATTCACTGCAGTTCGAAAGAAGTAAACTTCATTAATTTTTCTGATAAAAGACAAAGACTCTATTATTTGCCTTACCCATAAAATTAAAAAAAAAAAAAAAAAAACTTTGATGTTTCCAAGAAGGCAGGTTTTTTGAAGTTTCTGTTGCTCTACCCAGGTGATCGAGAGGCTGATACGCTTCTGTTGGCCTCTGACCTGTGGTAGAAATGCCCAGGTCAGGAGTCCGGTGCTGTACTCAGCCAACCTGTTTGCACGTCCGTGTATATTTAATGGCCCATCCGGCAGCTTAACTATTAGAACAAAGAGGTGTTACAGCTCTGAATGAACGCTATGTAGCTATATGCATTTTCCTCTGCAGAGTAACAGGACTATGAAGATAGGTATCTCATTCCAAGCAGTCTCTCAACCAGAAAATAAGAGACTTGAAAATATAACATGGCCCATGGCAGCCCTGACCTAAGTCACAAATGGGGCCGGGAAGGTTGAAGCTGTGTGCACACTCAGGCTGAACAAGGGCATCGCAGGAAGGAGAAACTGGCCTGGCCCTCCACCTTCCGCATCTGGCAGGAGAGCTGCAGGTCCCTTTTAGACTTGTGTCTTGCTGATTCTCTGTCTACATGCCGGAAACCAGCTCTTAGGATAAAAGATCATAAGGAAAAGTATCTGGCAAAATGGGAATTTTTAGAAAACTGCTTTCAGTCAGAAAAAAAAAAAAAATAGCTAGAAACTCAAATAAAACCCCCAGATTAGATATTGGAGCAGATTACCATATTTTTCATTACTTTTTTTGTTTGTTTCTTTTTGCCGAAAAAGAAATAGCCGCGTGTGTGTGATTGTGTCGGCTCGCGCAAGTTTCAGCCTCTGACTGCTCACAGAAATTAAACTGCTTTCCAAGGGAACGGCGGCAGGACAGTCCAAGAAAAGGAGTCTAAGGCATTTTGCATTCATTAAAATTTATTTGGAGACTGATAAATCTTCCATGCACTTTCAACGGTCGGCTTTTCTGCTTTATTTGAAAGGCAGCATTTGAAGATCTGAGAGTAAACAATCATGTGAAAGTTTCCTTCACAGGGCTTTCTTGTTCTTTTTACCCCCTAATAAAATGGTGTTTATTGCTTAATATACAGAGTTGGAAAGAAGGGATGTGAGTAGGAAGGCAAAAAGATTTCAAAATTTAAAGACTCTAGGACTAGAACTATATTTAGAGGTTGAGCTTAAAAGAAAAAAGGGTAAACTTTTTTTTTAATTTAGTATTTTTATTCTGATAAAATGTACTTAACATAGTATTCATCATTTAAGTCATTCTTAAGTGTACAATTCAGTGGCATTAAATACATTCACAATGTTGTGTAACCGTCACCACTATCTTTACCCTAAACTTTTTCATCATCTCCAATAAAAACTTTGTACTTATTATTAAACAATAAACTCCCTGTTCCCTCCTTCCCCTATACCCTGGCAACCTTTATTCTACTTTCTTTCTCCGTGAATTTGACTATTCTAGGTACCCCATTTAAGTTGGAATCATACAACCACACAATATTTGTCCTTCTGTGTCTGACTTATTTCATTAAGCATATTTTCAAGGTCCATCCATGTTGAAGCATGTATCAAAACTGCATTTCTAAAACAAGCAAACTTTTACCTGTAAAGAATCAGAATTTTGATCTGTTTCTTCTTGTTTATGGTCCTTGTTTCCTGGAGTTTGTTAAACAGAGGGAAGCAGAGGTCTCTTTGATTTTACCTGGTTTTGGTTAACTGATGATGGTCTTCTGAGCACTTGGAAGCCTTTCTCTGTTGCTGAGAAGCCCAAAGAGGTTTTGAGTTTTGTTTTGTTTTTATTCTTCTTTCAGTCTGGTATTGTGAACTGACAAACTCCTATCTTATAACCAAACAACTGGCCAGGTGCATTGGCTCACACCTGTAATCCTAGCACTTTGGGAAGCTGAGGCAAGAGGATCACTTGGGGCCAGGAGTTTGAGACCAACTTGGGCATAGTGAGATCCTATTTCTACAAAAACTAGGGGAAAAAAAAAAAGAACTAAAAATCTTACATTTAGGCACTACTTATAGTCAACCACAAAAGCATTTTGCTGTTGTTTTGGTCCCCCTTGATCTAAATATTTGTTGAAATTTTCCTTCATTTAAATTGGGGAGCAATACAATGTGTAGGCAGTAGGCCTTTAACACAATCCACATTCACAAGGCCTGCCTTGTCAGTCACATTTTGGTCCAGTCTTTTCCAACCTCATTGTGCCTAATGCCATCTTTTACCAACAAAAATTTTGTTAAGCCCCTTTATTATCCTGAAATGAGATTCACAGACACTATAACCTATACACAACTATTAATTTTTTAAGTCAAGATAACACTTTAAGCATAATAAATTAGGGAAAAAAAGGAATATGATTTGTAATAACAATATATATTCACATACATAAATGCTTGGGAATAACAACATTGGAGTCCGTAAGGAAGTAGTCAGAAGCTGGCATTGAGATGGAAGATTGCCTTTGTATTCAACAACTACAAATATAAACCAGTATGGAATGTGCTATAGAGACAACTAAATGCCTTGAGCAATTTTCTAATACTTATGCACATTTCTAAAACAATAAACAACTTCTTTAAAAAGTATTGAATAGGCGTCGGTGCCCGAGCCTCCGGGTTGGGCCGGCCGCGCAGGGTGGCAGGAGCCCGGGGGCGGGTGCGAGCCACCGTCGCCCCGGCTGGGAGCCAGGACGCGCTCGACGCCCTCGTGACGGCGGATGAGAGGTTTCGCGGGGAAGGGTATGAGGAAGGCTACGAAGAAGGCAGTAGTTTGGGTTTAATTAAAGGAAGACAATATGGCGCGTTACAGGGAGCTAAAATTGGATCCGAGATCGGGTGCTGTCAAGGTTTTGCTGTTGCGCGGAAATGTCTCTCGCACGGTTGTGACCCTGAGAAAGGCAGCAGAAAAGATGAACGTCTTAGAATCACTGATTGGAGTGATGCAGAAATTCCCTCATGATGACCCTACTTACGATAAACTCCACGAAGACTTAGAATTTGAGGGAAATTTAAACAGCTTTGTTCATTACTCAGTGCTCAGCCGCACTTTAAAATTAGCGCGGAAGGCTCTGGACTTTTCATTTTGAGGATGACAGATGAACAAAGACGAAGCATCAAGGAACAGACGTCCGTGTGTTAAGTGTTTTAAAAGGTGATGAAAGGCCAAACAACGATGGAGCATTCATAGTCCCGCAGGGAGGGCTCCGGTTTGGCGGGCGAACGGGCTTCCTTCCGCCTGAGGTTTTCCGCCTGCCTCGCGCGGCGCCGCCAGGGGGCCTCCGCACGCACGCACGCATGCGCCCTGCCGCCCGGCCTGCCCTGCCACCTGGCGGAGCCCTGGCCGGGCTGCTCACCGCGCGTCCAGTCTGGTGCTTCTCCTGTCCTCCCCGGCAGGGCAGGCCTAGCTGCTCCTCCACTGAGGTTGGCTCTGGATAGAGCCACCCCCGAGCCTGGACGCACAGGAATGGTTTTTGTTTCTTTAATGAGAGAGACAGTGTTGACGCGAGCTGGGTGAATGGCGAGTCACGGTGAGCATCTCGATACCCGCAGAGCCGCGGGGCGCACGAGGCGCTGTGCTAGAGCCTCCCACGTGTCGCCTAATCCCCCAGGGGCCCATGGGCGAGGCCTCACCCCCGTCTTGCAGATGAGGGCCCTGAGACCTGCAGGGAATGCGCGGTCCCAGGTCACCCAGCAGTCGAGTGAGGACTTCCACCCGCACCACGTCTCTCCTCACCGCGCTGCAGCGGCGCGGCAGCACCCGCGGAGTTGGGGACCCTGCCCTCGACTCCAGGTCGCAGGTTCCTGCTGTGCCTCACGAGCCCACTGCAGCCGGCTTGCCTGGCACCTGGCTGGGAGGAGGAGAGGCCAGCCTGACCCCGAGGGGGCCCTGCACGCCCTTCACAGGGTCCTCAGTGGGAGATGAGCTGTGCAGCATTAAAAAGTGGTTAACGAGGAAAATATTTTGAACCAAAGACTCAATGTCAGGCTATCGTTATTATGCAGAAACTTCCGGAGCCTCGCATTTGGGACACTGCATCCTTCCTACCGATGGGAGCCGCCTTGTCTTCTGATAGTACTGGGAAGGCGTCGCATGCAGGCGGTGAGTCTCAGGCTATGGGAGTGGGTGGCTCTGCGGACCCCCCGCGAGTTCAGTGGACACGGGGCGGCACGTGATAATGCATCCTTCCGAGGGTGTCCCCAGGGTCCCCACACGCTGCCTGCTTTCCCCGCTCCCTGCTCCGGAGAGCACATCTGAAAGCAGCGTGTGGGATTATTAAGGGGTCACCGTGCATCCACTCAAGTTGTTAAAGTCACTCCAGAATGTCTCGGGAGATCCGGTCAGTAGGATCCCGAGTCAGCGGCAGCGGTGGCACGTTCCCGCCCACTTGGCTGGCCTCGGGAGGGTGCTCAGGAAGAGAGAAAGGGCTTTTCATGTTTGAGGGACAAGCCTTGGGCTTTCTCCTGAGCTGTGGTCAGTGTGTGTCCGGCTGTGCACTTGTCACTGGCAGGGTCACCTCGGCCCGGAGGTCTGCCTGGCTCGCCGCCCCCAGTGCCTTCGTCCGAGCCGCCACCCTCCAGCGAAAGACTGCGTTTGCTCCGGGTGGTGGGACTGCAGGGGCCTTTGTTGTGGTTTTCTTTGGTGGATTTTTATGTTTTTTGTGTGTTTTCCATTTTGATAATGTATTATCTTTATAATTGGAGAAAAAATAAATAGCCTATTTTAGAGCAAAAACAAAAAGTTCTGAATAAAGTATAAAGTTTTATTCTTAGAAAATGTAGGGTGTGTGAAAAGCTGTGTAATTAATATAATACATCGTGATTGATTGTATGTAAAATGGAATTAGGCTTTGGTTCAAATACTTATACATAGGTTGACTGCCTAGTTTGACTTAAGAAAGTCATATGGGTCATAGAACAATTCTTCATTGTGCAGGATGACCCCAAAGTTGTGTGATGTTGACATCCTGATGCCCGTCCAGTAAACGCTAATGACAGCCCCCAGTGTCATAATCAAAAAATAAACTCTCAAATTTTAAAAAATGACCATGGTATAACCCTGACTCAAGCATGACATAAGCGGTACATGTAAGCAGAAACAGTTGTACCCCCATAATATTTTGAAATTAAAAATAAAAATAAAACTTCACTGATGGAAGGGGGAAAAATTGACCATAGTGAGAAATCTAACTGGTCTAGTCTTTTTAGAGGTGAGAAGCCAGCAGACAATTCTAAGTGCCTCTAAGAATTCCCAAATGTCTTGACACACCCACTTTCCCAAGTGGGATCTGGAGAGAGATAGCCCAGGAGCAATTCAAGCAGGGAGGCTCCTTCGATGGTTACAGTATTTTGGGTGATAGTCTCATGTCCTTGTCACCATGCACCTGAGATCACACCCTCTGTTTTTCTCTTGGGGCTCTCCATCCACCCCTTATGCTAAGCTTCCTAAATGTAGGAAAGTACTAAAGAGTTTTACTGTGACAAGGTGGAAGCTCATGAGCTGAACATGCAAATTATGACATTACATCTTCAAAAAAAGGTCAGGCTCTTTTTTCCATTTCATTTTTCCCTTCTAAGTTCACCCTTAATTGCAGCCTCCTGACCAAAGCTGCAAGTCTGGGCATAGCTCCCATACTATTAAAAAATCTAATAATTCCTTTCTATCTGGGTCTCCAATACCACCTCAAACCTGGCCCCATGCCCACACTGCTCTCCTCAAAGTCTGCCTGAACCAAGCCTGGTGGCTTTTCTGCATCTTGTGCCACTATCACCTGGGACTGAGCTCTCATCTCTCTGACACCTCAGCCTCCCAATTACTATTCACAAGTGGCCAATCTCATCAAGTTTCAAAAATATGTTCTAAAAGAGAAGATTCCTTTTGTGCCTCCATGGGGTCTAATTTTTTTCTCCCTCTCCCTTCATTTATCTGTGCAGATGTCCAGGATAACCCTGGAAAGGAGATCAGGGAGGTGACATTTATAAATGAGATGACTTACAGATATTAATTTGCCAACATTACACAGCTAATAAGTAGCAGAACTGGAAAAATAACAGGTTTTTGTCTGCTTATTTTTGTTTCTATTTTTTCTTTACTCTTAACTTGGTAGGCTTTTCAATCATCCATTCACTAACCCCATTACAATAAAAATCTATTTGGTGAACTAAATTGTGTTTACCCTTTCCATAGTCCTGTGAGAGTTAGCGAGTCTTAGAAAGTCTTCCTGGTTTTCTTTTTTGTCAGTACAGTTGGGAAGCCCCTCATTTTCTAGTTTATCATCAGGTCCCCAGAAGTGCCTCTGCCATCCACATGGCTTGGTAGCCTTCCTTTGACCTTGTCCAGCATTGTTATTTTTTCTGCATATTTTTTCTGCATAGAAACCAGAGTTGCCACACTAAGAGATACGTATGCCCTGCATTTGAGCACATAGGAACGATAATATTTTCCATTTTATTTCCAAAGCATATTTTAGACAGAAGAACACTTTGGACTTGAGACTTCTGAGAACAGCAATTACCATCTGTTCATCACACGCTGGGGATCCAGCTTTGTGTGTGTTTCACCCTGTTCCTTCAACCTCTTCCCGATCCTAAAATCCTATTGAACTTCAAGGCCTAGCCTGAATGCTGCCCCTTCTACACAATATTAGTGTTCTCCAGAAAAACATAACCAATAAGAGATTATACACAAACACACACACACACACACACACACACACACACACACACACAGATTCATTATGAGAAATTGGCTCATATGGTTACGGAGGCTGAGAAGTCCCATGATCTGCCACCTGCAAGCTGGAGATCCATGAAGGGAGGTGCTATAATTCCAGTCTGAGTCTAGAGGCCTGAGAACAAGGAGGGCAGGTGGTATAAGTCACAATCAGAGGGCAGGAAAAGGCTGATACAGATGACCAAGCTGAAGCAGTTAAGTATAGAGAAAATGTCTCTTTCCTCCATATTTTTGTTCTATTCAGGCCCTCGGTTGAATAGAACAAACTAGATTGGATAATGTTTACCCACATTGGGGAAAGCAGTCTTCCTTACTCAAATTTATTTATTTATTCATTTACTTAAATGCTAATCTCTTCCAGAAACACCCTCATAGACACACCCAGAAATCATGTTCACCAGTTAATGGGCATCCTGTGGTCCAGTCAAGTTGGCACATAAGATCAACCATCACATCTATGAAGTCTTTGTTAAACTTCCAGCATAATTTACCTATTTCACCCATAGCACATTTTCTAAAATCGGTTTAGCACTTATTTAAATCTGCTGGATATTATAATTAATTGCTTAAAAATGCTTATTTTATATTCCTTCTTATTTGTACTTAGCACTACGTTTCACTCATTTTTGTTGCTCACCAGTGTTTTTGCTTATTCCTGAATTTATTTTTCTTCTCTCTGAAGTAAACTCTCTGTGAGAGGGTCTGTATGGCCAATTTTTTTAGTCTTATATGTTTCAGTTAGGAAATCTTTGGCCGCAAGTAACAGAAAAATCAATACTCAAATGGTTTTAAAAGCAAAGAAACCCAATTATCTCACTTACTAGGAGGTCCTGAGATAGGGCAGCTCCATGCACAAAGATATCATGTAAAAGAAAGGTCCTCTCATCATCTCACGCTATCATCCTCCACTTTTCTATTCTGCTCTGGGGTTAAGTCCTTTCTTTGCAATGGATGCCACAGTCCCAGGAATCATGGCCAATTGTGACAATGTCCAAAAGAAGTGGATTCTGCTTCTTTCTCTCTTGATCTTTCTAAAGGAAAGGAGACCTTTCCCATAATCCTCCTAGCAGACTTTTCACATATAACTGGCCAGGACTAAGTGACCCAGCCCTTTCTATATGCCATAAACCTGAATGTTGAAATCCTGAAAGATCAAAGTCCCTAAAGTCTAAATCCCTAAAGTCTAAAACCCCTAATGTCTTAAACTCTGAAAATAACAATCACAGGATGGTTGCATAATGTTAGGCTAGCTCTTATGGATTATCTCAATGCAATTTCCCTTAATCTATCACTGTAATACACTGAATTTTCTTTTCAGTTTTTGCTTTGTTTTGTTAGTTTTTCTTTTCTTTGTATTTTTTAGGGTTTTCTTTTCACTATTTTAAATTGTCAGCATTCTTGTTTACAATTTGCTATGCTACATAATTCATCTTCACATCATTTTCAATATTGGAGGTATAAATGATGTAAAGACTTTCGTGGAGTTCTAATTCATTTTATACATTTTTTGAAAATTTGACTCCACTGAAGTTCATTATCACAACATTGAATTTGTGTGTAAGCATTGTGTGTGTGCTCAAAAACATTGAAAACTTCCTCAATAAATGAAGAGATGTCCTTCATACATCTGCAATTGTGAAAGATACAATTTCTCTAGATCTCAACTCTGGGCAGCTGCATATGTAGTGGTGGTCCATCTCAGTTTTTGATTGCTCTCATCAAAAGATTAGGTTGCTCATGAAGGTATTTCAGATGACTGTAGTTATAAATTGGGTATACACCATTACCAACTTTAGTGATATGCATTTATACATTTCACTTTTTGTCCTATTTCTTTATGAATATGATTTTTCTGCTCTTTCTGTTATACCCATGCAATTGTCATTAGTACACCTGAGTGTTTGATTGCAAATATGTGTATATTATTATTGCCTATTTTATTATGTAAAATGGCCCATGGAGTAGTCTATCATATTTTTATATGTTTCTCAAATAAATCTCCCTTTTAAATGTAAATAAATATATTTTAAAGAATTTTTTCCCAGAATTAATATTTTCAGGATTTTGATCTTTGGGGATTTCAACATTCAGGATTATGGTGTTCAGGATTTTGTCTTCCAGGATTATAATGGCTCCCACCTCATCACTCTCCCTGGTACGCCAGCTTGTTGCTAGGTTACCTAAGGCTGCAGAGGCCCAGTCTTGGGATGTGCCACAGTTTGTCTTGCCTCATCCTGAGTTGCAAGAGGGAAGAATGTACACCTCAACCAAACAGGGCTCTAGCAGAGATCAAGAACACTCATGTGAGTAGGCTATGGAATGTGCTGTATCCCATAAATGCTTGAAGCCATCACTAACTGTGGCTAAATCTTAATTCTAAACTCAAAAGTTATTTTCCTTCAACACCAAAGATTCTGCTTTACTTTCTTCTTTCATCCAACATTGCAGGTGAGATAATTGTATATTATCTGTTTGATTCTCTAGCTCTTTAATTTTTTCTTTATCTTGAATAAGCCAAATGTCATAAATTTGTGTGACTTTATGAGGTCATTTCATCCTCTTTGGCACATAGTGTAGCTTTCAGTCTGAGAGCTCATTTCTTTCTTCGGGTGTTATTTCACTTATTATTTATTTGGTGATTTCCTTCATTATCTCTATTTTATTCCTCCAGACCCACTCAGGAGAACCACATATCATTTTTGAAACTTTGAAACTCTTAGATATTTCACCCAGGTCTGTTCTCTTTCACATTTCTCATCTATTTCTTCCTTTTTGCTCTGTTCTAGAAGGATACTTTGCCCCATTTTCCAGCTCACTATCTAGCTCTTTAGTTTTGCTCTTTCTACTGTTCAACCTGATAGTGATTTTTATTTTTACTTTATCATAGAAATATACCTCCAGAAAATTTCAAAAACCAAAGTTTACAGGTGGATGAAGAATCACAAAAGGAACCCACCCATGTAACCCTCAGACCTGGAGGAAGAGGGCCGCACCAAGAATGTCATCTTTGCTGCTTTAGGATATATGGTTTATGTTTCTTATATGGTAACTTGGTGAAGTGAAAGAACAAAAAAAAAAGTGGAAAATACCACTAGACTTATCTTTAATTTAATTGGCAATTAAGGCGAGTGTGTGTATTCCATAAGAGCAGCCATTCTGGTTCTGAAGCAAAGAGCTTTTTTCAAATGAGTTAAGCCTGAGATCCTCTATCTCTATAAAGATCTACTTCACTCTGGTATTGTTGACAACATTTCTCATTATTTCCCCTTGCTCATATGGTTAGGTAGATAGAAAGGGATCTCTGGCTAGCCTAGGGGCAAAGGCAGGTGCATCACCTTGATGCTACCTTGAGCAATTGCCACACCTGGGGAAAAAGGAAAGGGCAGGCACCCCACCTTGGTGCTGCCTTACCTTGATCTTGCCCCAAGTAACAGCCACACCTGGGGGAAGTAGGAAGACCTGACCAATGTGCAAAAGATGTAGGGAATTCTTCAGGTACAATAGGATCTGGAAAGTGACCTAGAGTAACCTAAGGCTAATTATCATTCTATTAACTGTCCATTAGACTGGTTCCATAGTGATATCTGGACCACGAGGAGGGCTCAATGTGGACATTATAAAACGGGACCCCAGACTATAGCCAGAGCTTCTTGTCACAACAGGGGGCCCATTTGTCGTTTGTGGTGAACATATCTTGCTCTTGCTCTATAAACCTATCTTGCTCTTCCTCAATAAACCTTGTTTTTGTGCTCGCCTTGTTTTCTGTGTCTGGTCATTCTTTGGCAAAGAGCACACCAAGAACTGAGAAGAAGATTGCCGACCTGACAATGTGATCGTTTTCCTCACTCTTTTCCCCTCTCTTTAATATCAGTTCACACGTTTTCATGGCAAAACCAAATCAAGAGAAAGTTTTTCTGAACTACACACTCTCCTAGAAATCTAAGGGCCCTCTCCTGACTTAAGCTCCATCCTAAACGGAAGAGTTGGGTAGGTTAAAAGAAAATGGCTATTCCCACTTAGTAAGAAATATAAGGAAATGACAACTTTCCTTGGACCAGCAAGTAAAGGTAGGGGATGGCCCACCTATCCCCTCAAGAGTGACCTGGGAGAGGATGGTATCACTGTTTCCCCAATCTGATGCTCTGCCTCTGCTCTCAACGTCATTGTCATTCATTCTTCTTATCGGGGACTGACTCTCTTAGCAGATACTTTCAAGAGGAGAAAGAGTTCAAGAAATTAATTACAATGTGCAGTTCTTATGTGGCTTCTATTAAGCCTCAAAAAATATCTAAGTCTTTTAATGGCTGGAAAATTTTGTGATTAGTTCATTCTAACAGATGCTTATTGAATATCCATCATTTTTTTTCAGTCATTCAGCAAATATTTATTGATCACCTACTCTGCACCAGGCTCTGTTTTAGGAGCTACAGCAGATAACAATAAGTAAGATGAGACTCTGCTTTGAAGGAAATTCCCATTTAGTTGAAAGGAAAAATCATATAGAAATGATGAAAGCAAATAACAAAAAAGGGCATGTGCCCTAGAAAAGTATAAACAAATGACAGTGGGGTCAAAAGAGGTCAAAGAGGGTTTACTCAGATCAGTAAACTGGGATGGCTTCTTGGAAGATAGCATTTCGGATTAACCATCAAACTAGGCTGAAATTTGACAGAGAGAGGGAAAGAAAGAGTATTCTGAGTGAGAAAACTGCATAAAGAATAGGGTAGAATGAAGCTACATAAAATATTTGGGCATGCAGGAATGAGAATAGAGACAAAATAAGAAGAGGGCGATTATTAAAAAAAAAAAAAGACATTTATCTATGTACTTATAGGTCACAATTCTAACCAATAGCTAGTGGAAGCTGTAACATCCAAACCAAGCTACTTTGCAGAATAATGTAAGGTGTCTGAACAAATACAAATGATATTTTTGTTAATTCAGTTTTACTTGGTTCAAATGCTTTAAGCCAATGCAAAGTGCTAAGACGTTCCCTTTCCTTAAGGAGTCTTCTTTTTAAGGAAAGGATCAGAGGAGCCAAAAACTTGCCCAGAGATTTCCTAAGTAAAAATATGGATTCACTAAGGTAAACATTGATGATTAAAGAGTTAGTTCTTGCTGAAAGGAACATGGAAGGCTTTGTGGAAAATACACATTTAAGCGGGGTTTTGGATGGGGAGGCAGAAGCTGGAGAAGATGGAAGTGGGAAGATCAAGCTCCCTGCTCTATTTTTAATGCTTGGGAAGGACAGGCATGGAGCTGGTGGAGACATTGGTGCTTCTGGGTTCACTTGGCCTACATGTAAGCAATCCAACCTCACCAATTAACTGTAAACGAGCTTTTCATTAACATAAATTGCTATCATGGCTAGAAAAATTATGAATCCTGTGAAACCCTTCAGGCATTCAAATAGGAGCCTTTCTTTGTCTTTTGAAAGCATTATGATTAATAAAATAATACGATTCATGGCCACTATTCCCACAATATGGGGAAGGAAAGAGAGAGGATGGGGAAGTCTCTTTGAGAGAAGTGATGATGGCCTTTAGATAAAAAAGACAAGATATAAGGAGGGAGGTAGTGGGAGCACATCCCAGGCAGAGAGAGCAGCAGAGAAAGGTGACAAGAAGGAATTTGATGAAATCAAGGAATGCCAGCAGTTCTGAAAGACTGAAGTATCAGAAGGTTAACAGAGGGGAGTGACTGTAATGAGGTAGAAGCCTCAGCTTCCAAGGCCTTATTTATATATTTGTCTCTAGCTCTTATCCTAGAGACAACAGGAATCATAAAAGCATTTTAAACAAGGAGCGGACGCTCACTTTAGAAAAATCACTCTAGAAGCTGGAAGAAAGAGGAGTGGCAGCAGACAGACCAGTCAACATTCCACTGTAGTCGGTGGCCACAGCATGGTGAGGCCCTGAGTGTGGCGTGTAACTCAGGCTTGTCCTACAGAGCTGGAGAAAGAACCTATGTTCCAACTGCCTGGTTATGTCATTAAGGTCTCTCCCAACCTCTTGTTTGTCAGAACATTGCTCAAGCCAATTTTTTAAACCATAAGCTTTAGGAACAAGAATATCACATACATTGAGGACATTTTAATTTAACTTTCCTGAGATCTGGAAACCAATCTCTTGCAAAGTTCAGCACATTCCTTGAAGCTGCTCTCACTTCCCTGCCTGGCTGAGTCGGGCAGGAAAGGGCTTCGTTGCTAAGACAGCTCCATCCAAGGCCCTCCACGCTGCCTGCCCTCTGCTGTGCTCTCTGCCTTAACCCTCTGGGATTGCTTGGAAAATTACAGACTCCAGCTATAATATCACTTCCTCACTCACCTTTTCCAGAAATCCCACATGGGTATCTCCTTCTATCAACCATTTTATTTCTGTTATCAGTTTCACCAGCCCCAAATGTTCTCTCCTAAAAGGAAACTAGACTTGCCAGTCAAATTAGATTTTATTTTCTTGTATTTTCAGACCTCATTTTCTACTCTTCTGTTTGTTTGAAAACCTATCTAAGGAAGGAGAGGGAGGATGAAAGGATGCATTTGATCTCATGTATCACTCAGGCCTAGGGGGTATGAAGCATACGGCCACCAAATCTACACTCATTTCCTTGTTAAAACATATGACACCATTTATTGAATAACAGCAACATTATATATTAGCATCTGGATTTCAAAAAGGTATTTGGCAAAATTTCAGGATAAGGAACTAGGTGAGGAAATGAGGACTGGGTAAGCATTGTGTGGTTAGCATGATTCAAATCTGACTGTACTCAGAAGGTGTTGATGAATGAATTGCTGACATTTTGTAGGAAGGGCTCTAATTTTAACCCTGTCCTGTTCATCAAATTCATAATCACTGAGATAGCAACATGGGCTATTAAATTTGTAGAGTATTCAATTCATTTAGTGCAATGCTGGGCACTTAGTAATTGCTCAATAAATGTTTGTTGAATTTAATCAGGAGGAAATTGTTGATACTTCAACATGGTAGACTCACAATAGTAAGTGAGTTCATTAGGCTGAAAGAAAGTAAAAATAACAGTACCATAGTATTGAAAAGGGATAAGTGGATTTCGTGCTCTTGGACTCAATCGACGGTACAACTGTAGAATTAGAAAAGCCCAATTGAACATGTAAATAAAAACATGTACAAAAGAGAACTACAAGCTAAATATGCATTAATAGGTTGCTTCTGTCTCCTAGAAAATTAATAGAGGCTACAGAGCATCACATGCTGATCGAGGGAGATAATAGCCACTGGCTTGTGTACTGTTCAGACAACATCTGGACATGGTGTTTCATGCTACACACTGCATTTTAAGAAGATGGTTAATCAAGAGACCCTGATGCCAAGGGACCCCTACAAAGAGAATGTAGAGGCATGTGGATTATATGCCCACAGTATTCAAAAAAAACAAAAAAAAACAAAAAACCTGAGCAGGATTAGGGATAAAAATGGGAGACTTCATGCTAGCTATTTATTTATCATGCACAAGCAGGAATCAAATTATTCTCGGTACCTCTACAGACTTAGATTAACTAAGCTCAGCTTAAATTAGCTTAACTAGGTGCTTGAAAGAAGTGGGGAAAAAAGAAAATTTTGTCTCTAGATGAGAAACAATTATTTTGTACCAAATATAATTGTTGACAAATGAAACAGCGATTGCCCCAAAGTAATAGTAAGAAGTAGGTAACATTTTACTATTAAACAAATTATTATGTGAAGTAGTTTGTTATGTTTTCAAAAGCACTGCATATTTTGAAATCCCATCCATCTCTAAGACTGCCTGATTGTGATCATAGTTATGCTGCCTAAAAGCAAAGAATGAAATAGTGTTTAAACCACCATCAACCAGCTGGTCATCATGCAGGTTGATATGATACATAGGGATTTAAGAAATGTTAATTCAGTTGAATTCCACAAATATTTTTGGATTACTTTCTCTCGTATTTGGCACTTGTAAATGCTGAATTTATAACTGAATAAGACATAGTGTTTGTTCATAGGAAGGTTATAGTCTTGTGATGGACAAGGTCCTGAATAATAACTTCAACGTGTTCCCTAAAACACTGACTGCCAAGGCAGGCACTTGAATTAGTTTCCAATTGCTGCTGTAATGAGTTACCAAATCTTAGCAGCTTAAAACAACATGAATTTATCACCTCACAGTTCTGGAGGTCAGAAGTCCAAAATGGTTTTTACTAGTCTGAAATCAAGGTGTCATCTGGGCTGTTTTCTCCAGAGGCTCTAGGGGAGAACCTATGTCCTTGGCATTCCCAGGTTCTAGAAACCACCTGTATTCCATGGTTTATGGCCCCTCCCTCCAGCAATGTCAGGCATAGTCCTTCTTACACTACCATCTTCTTGGTTCTTTATTTTCTGCCTCTCTCTTCCATACTTAAGGACAGTTGGGATTATCTTGGGCCCACCCAGATAATCCAGAATCATCTCCCCCTTGCAAGGTTCTATCTGCAACTTTTGCCATTGTGTTAGCCAGGGCTACCATAACAAAATACCATAGACTAGGTGGCTTAAACCAAAAAAAATTATTATTATTATTATTTTCTTATAGTTCTGGAAGCTGCAGTTCTAAGATCAAGGTACTGGCAGGCTTGTTTTCTAGAAAGGTGCAACTTCCTGGCTTGCAGACAGTACCTGTTCACTGTGTCTTCACCTGGCCTTCCCTCTGTGCCTACGCATGTGTTCCCGGTGT